GGGGGAGAGAAAGAAGGAGAGAGCAAGAAAGAGAGAAGAGGGGAGAGATAGAGAGGAAAGAGGAGAGGAGATAGAAAGAAAGACAAGAGTGGAGGGAGAGGCATAGGAAAGAAAGAAGAGAGGGGAGAGACAAAGGGAGAAAAGAGTTGAGACAAAGAAAAGAAAGAAAATATAAAGAAAGAAAAAGAAAAAGCAGAGAGGAGAGAAAGAGGGAGAGAGAAAGAAAAGAGTGAGGGAGGATTGCATTCAGCATTCATAAGAGCATCAGTGAGGTCAGGTACTGATGTTGAACATTGCTGTGAGGATTTGATTGAGCATCAGTGAGGTCAGGTACTGATGTTGAACATTGCTGTGAGGATTTGATTGAGCATTAGTGAGGTCAGGTACTGATGTTGGATGGTCAGTTCTGGATCAATAATCATCCCAAAGGTACTGGATGGAGCTCCATCACTCCAGAGAACGCAGTTCCACTGCTCCACAGCCCAATGCTGGGGGGCTTTATACCCCTCTAGCCCACGCTTGGCTTTGGGCCTGGAGACCTTAGGCTCATGTGCAGCTGCTCCATTCTAATGGTCAGTGCTTTTCTATGGAGATTAAAGCTGTGTCAGCAGTGCTGACCCTACAGTAGCTGAATTCATTCCAAACACTGGACACTGTTGACCATGTTAGATAACAGCGAGTCACACAGTCACAGAGAAACACTGAGCAAGTCTTCCGTCACCTGTTAGCTACATTAGCCTCGTAGCTGCAGAAGCAACTTCAGACACTGAACATTTGGAGTTTTTGTCCAAACTTTCACTTTAACAACATCACACAAACAGAGGAATGTGTTCCGTGTCTGAAGCCCGGGTCACGCGGGCCGTGGTAATTGTGTCTGATAGAAACGTGGCCGGCTTCCAGAACATTCCAGCTGCATTCTGGAACCAGCCGGCACCGAGTGAGAACCATGTATGGGAGAGAATCACAAATCCAGTATCCACACTGGAGCGGTCAGTCATCAAAGCATGTTCGACAAATAAACATCTACATCTAAACGCTACCAGCTACTTAAAGGGCAATTCCACCAGAATTCACCATAGTTCAGAGTTTGAGATGTAAACAGAGCGGTTCAGAGCGGTTCAGAGTGGTTTGGTGTGAAACTCTCTGTTCTAGATAAACTTACAGAGTCAGAACTGTTCACAGTGGTGGTGATAGGAACCAGACGTCCACGTCTACAAGCTCCCTCACAGAAAGTTCCTACAGTAAATGGTTATTAATAAACAGTAACTGTGTTATAATGTGCAGTCGTTTGTCTCTGTTGAGGAACTTTACACTCAGAAAATCAACAAATTTGACCAGGGTGCACAAACTTTTGCATATGGTGGGATCGATGTTTATTTAGGTACCTTAAATATAAAATCATATGTATCATATATACCTACACATCCTCTTTTATCTGGTCAGTTCATGGTCATATTACAGGGGAATTCCACCAATTTCTCAAAATTCCCCCATAACTCAGTGTGTGAGGTGTAATCAGAGTGACTCAGAGTGGTTTAGTGTGAACTGGTCAGATGTCTTTACAGTGGTGGTGATAGGAACCAGGGGTCGCCATGACTACAACACAAATATAGACATACATACATACATCATCTAAACCGCTTATCTTTCTGGGCCGCGGTGGGGTGCTGGAGCCTATCCCAGCTGTCATTGGGCGGAAGGCAGGATACACCCTGGACAGGTCGCCAGTCCATCACAGGGCACAACACAAATATAGACATTTTATTTACTATCCAGAACCACCAGTGAACCTACACGAGTCTTCTGAGTTTATATGGAATGTTGATGATGGAAAATAGTGGAAAATCTGAAATAATAAGTTTTCTTTGGGGACTATTTTGCCTCACAGCGCCCTGCATGTATCCCTCCACCATGAATGGAGTGTAAAAATATACATTTTAGACCAAAACCTTCTCAAAACTATACTTTTAAAAGAGATATTCAAGGGTTAAAAAGGTTCAAGGGTTCTCTAGTAAAGGGAATGGTTCTATCACAAACCATTTCATGCTTAAAGAGTTCTTTGCATGGTAAAATGGTTCTTCAGATTGAGAATGTGTTGTATATGCTTCTATACAGAACCTAATGGCTCTAAATAGCACCAAAAAGGGTTCTGCCATTGTTGTGATGTCAAGCTTTCAGCAGAAGAACTCTTTTTGTTGATGTACAGAAACATTTCTAAGAGGTTCTATATAGATCCATATACAACACATTCCCCATCAATCTGAAGAACCATTTCACCATGCAGAGAACCATTCAAGCATTAAATAGCTCTGTATAATAGAATTCACAGTTCTAAACAGAACCATTCCTTTTACTAAATAACCTTTGAAGAACATCAGGCAGTGAATTCATAACCATTTCATGTAGGAACTTTCTGTGAGGGAGCTTTTAGAGGTGGACGTCTGGTTCCTATCACCACCACTGTGAACAGTTCTGACTCTGTAAGTTTCTCTAGAACAGAGCGTTTCACACCAAACCACTCTGAACCGCTCTGAACTCTGTTTACATCTGAACTAGTTAACTATGTGGAATGTTTGAAAAATGGGTGGAATTCTCTTTTAGTTCTGTGCTAAACAGCTGAACAAAACAGATTTTCCAAATAATATAAACGATAAATGCATTTTTAAGATAAAAACAGTTTAACCGGAATTGTTTACATTTAGAAACTGAGATTTAGTGTCAACACTGCTCACTCTATCATCCTAATGACTCTCATTAAGAGTTATTAATTTATTAATAATTATTAATAATAGTCAGTCAGGCGTTCTGTGAGGATGGTGAGCTCTACGATTTTCTAAATCTGTTCTACCTTAAATGGTGCCAGAATGTAACTGCTGCCCCATTTAAGGTGGAACGGAACACCGAATGAGCAGAGTTGGTTTAGGAGGTGAAGTTTGGCTCAGATCTTCTCTTTTTGGATGATTTTGGTCTAAAATTAAACTCTGAAGCTCCTCAGTCTGAGAGGACTGAGTAACAGTACAGCAGACTCCGCATGATGAGATGCTGATGTCATTTCCTCCATGCTGTAATCTTCTGAGAACCAGACTGTGAGCATGTCAGGAATGAGAGCTGATGTCACTGTCCTCTCTGAGTCTCTCTCTCTCCGAGTCGCTCTCTCTCTGAGTCGCTCTTTCTCTCTGTCTTCAGCTATTCTTCTTTATTACACACTTTCAACCAGAGAAGCAGCTGCTGTGATTTATTCAGTAACTGTTATTAATTATTCAGTATCTACTATAAATTATTCAGAATCTACTGTGAATTATTCAGCATCTACTATGAATTATTCAGTATCTACTATGAATTATTCAGCATCTACTATGAATTATTCAGTAACTCTGAATTATTCAGTATCTACTATGAATTATTCAGTATCTACTATGAATTATTCAGTAACTACTATGAATTATTCAGTAACTACTATGAATTATTCAGCATCTACTATGAATTATTCAGCATCTACTATGAATTATTCAGTAACTATGAATTATTCAGCATCTACTATGAATTATTCAGTAACTATGAATTATTCAGCATCTACTATGAATTACTCAGTAACTGCTAAGAATTATTCAGTAGCCACTATTAATTATTCGGTATTCACTAAATAATTCTCAGTATTCACTGTTCCCTTTATTAAAGATCCCCTGAACAACCATCTTTTTAACTGTGCACTATGAATTAAAATAACTAAAATTATTCGTAATTATTCAGTATCTATTACAACTCACAACTAGTATGAATTGTACAGAAAACAGTATGAATTATTCAATAATTAGTGTGAATTATTCAGTGTTTTAACAGCTCTGTGAGGAACTGCAGTGTGGATCCAGATTCAGACCCTCAGGGCTGGTTTCTCAGACCCAGACTAAAACTAATCCTTGACTAAACAGAGTTTATAATGAGGAGTTTGGCTTCTCACAACAGCAGAACCCCCTATTCGGTGCGATACAGAACAACTTTCTCTACTAAAGAACCCTTGAAGCACCGTCTTTTGTAAGAATGCAGACTAAATCCCTCTCTGGGAAACAGACTCAGCGTTTAAAGGGTTAAAGCGCTAATGATGAATCGCAGCATCTGGTGGTGGTTTGGTTTTGGTGACGCACCAACAGAAGCCTTTAATCAGACTCTGTATGTACATGTTCAGCGAGGGCTTCAGGCCATGGACCTGTCTGACCCTCACCTGACTCGGCCTGCAGTTCGGGTGTGACCTCAGTTAGGGGACAGCGGGGTCAAAAGGTCAGTCCAGCTACGCTAATGCACTTTAGTCCATGTTTATAGATAACAGTGCTAGAAACCACATAATCAATAAAGCATGCTCACACTTCAGTCAGAGCTAGCAAATTCAGCGGTTAAAGGGGAACTCCACTGATTTTTCTAAATTTCTGCTCAATTAAATGGTTACGACGTAATCAGAGTGGTTCAGAGTGGTTCAGAGAGGTTCAGAGTGGTTTGGTGTGAAACGCTCCGTTCTAGAGAAACTTACCGAGTCAGAACTGTTCACAGTGGTGGTGATAGGAACCAGACGTCCACCTCTAAAAGCTCCCTCACAGAAAGTTCCTACATGAAATGGTTATGAATTCACTGCCTGATGACTGAGTTTTCTCTGTAAACATGGTTCTCAAGTTTGTTTTCAGTGAATCACACCAAACAACTCTGAATGATTGTTTAAATCTCCACCAAAGAATTATGCAGAAATTTTAAAAAACTGGTGGAATTCCCCTTTAAGGGATTAAAGGGAAGTCTTACTGGCCAGACAGACCAAATCAACAAGAAATAAAACAGGCACAGTTACAGAAACAAAAACACAAAAACACCTTTTCATTTGATCCCGCGTCGCCATGGCGACGGATCCCGGCAGATGGGATGTGAGCGAGTCCGGCCACATCGCCATGGCGACCGTTCTTGGAGGATTCTGGCTTCTCGGAGACACTTCAACAAACACTGACACAAGAACAAGACGCTCCGTAGGAACACTGAAACTCAAAACTTTAATGGTGCTGATGCTGCAGCTGGACACGGTTACCGTGGAAACAGCATCGTCGCTGACTGTTAACACCCCTACCAGAAAACACAGGAGAAATCGCTCTAGAATCACACAGACCTGCGAAAACACACACACACACACAAACAGACGGCCAGTCCAGGCTCAAGGGGAGCGGGCCCAGCGTTAAGAGTCCAGCAGGACGGCCGATCGTGTGGACGTGGCACTCAAACTGCGTGATAAACCAGAAACACTCGAACTCAACTTTACACTGTTCTTATTTACTAAAATGCTTTAAAAAAGGAAAAAATGAAAATGAATGCACTATATGACAGGCTGATCTCTTTTCTTCTTTTATATCGCTAATGTTTTTAGTTATTTAGTGTCATCGCTGGGGATCTGACTCCAGAGTAAAAGCCCTCAGATACGTCAATTACCTACCGAGTGCGTGTGGAGGAGAGAGAAAGAGAAGAGAGAGAGAAAGAGAATAAGAGAATAGGGGTGCTAACAATATGACCAAAATATTGAGTAAATCTGCACCATATCGATTAATTTTGTGCCACATCAACCAAATTTTAAAGGCAGATTAGTGAGAAAACAAGCATTTAACCTGTTAAAAAAAGAAAAAATGCTTGAAATGCACTGTTTACATAATTTCTTGGTAGCTGATGTAAGTTTCCTATAAAAATAGTGCATAGATTTAAATCAAACAAATTCAAATGCAGCACTTTTTCATTTCTACCAGACTAAATATAGATTATCAGTATCAGACAGGACTTTTATTGGTGCATCCCTAGAAGAAAACATAATAAAAGTCTTTGCGATTTGGTTCACTGGACTTTAGGCTTATTAGCGCTATTCTATATATTAGTTTAAAGAGCAGATATGATGAAAATAGTAGCTGAAAGACTTTTACCTGTTTTTATTCATATTAAAGGAAATAAGCAGAGAGAGAGAGAAAGAGAGAGAAAGACCACCCGGCACTCCCACCTCCGTCGAGTTTGTACAAAGATTGTATGTTTGTTCGCTGCCCTGTCTAAGTTTAATAATCAAACACTGAACTAGAACAAAAAAAAAGTCTCAAAATGAACCAACAAACCACTCAAAAGTTCAATCAACCAATCAGTGAGTCCATTTCTGCTGACATCATCATCATGTCTTAAACTTCTTCTCTGATGGAGACTCCTCCTCTTTCTCCTCGTCCTCTCCGGACCCCAAACGTGTCCGTTTCTGGCTCCTGGATGCCGCTGGCTCTGGCTCCGCCCCTGCCCCAGACCATCCTGGGAGAGTTGAGTCTGTAGGGTTCTCATCGTGAGCGTCAGCACTGCCTTCAGCGCCTGAGCCGCTTTGCGCTACGTGCAAAACTTCCTTATCTCTGCGTGCTTCGTTTCCATCATCACTACTTTTTCCTGCCTCCTCTAGCTCCGCCCTCCAGCCCATCCTTGACTCCGCCCTCTCCACACGCTGGGGGTCACTGCCTGGAGAGGTCGAAAGGCCTCGGACCCTAACTCGGGATGGAGAAGGGGTAGGGCTACACGTGAGGCCACGCCTTCTTTCCTTGCCTCGGCTCCTGACTGGCCGTCCCTCGTCTCCTGAGGAGGAGGACGACGACGATTGGTCGTGGATGGAGATTTTAGGGTAGCTGCTGTAATCGGTGGCGCTCTGCAGAGAGTGGGTGGGGTCTCGGGCAGAGAAACGTGAGTGGCGCCTCCTTCTGGCAGCGTTACGCTGGCGCATGCTGCTACGCCGCAGTTCCGCCTCGTCACCCTCGCTACTGGAGGACGAGCTAGATGAGGAGGAGCTGGGGGAGGAGCTGGAAGTGGAGGCGTGGCCTACAGAAGAGGCGTGGCTAGACAGGCTGGAGACTCTTTCGCGAGGGCTGGGTGAACGTGGGCGGGGCATAGGGTCCAGCCAGAATCCGCTGGAGTCGGAATCCTCGTTAACGAGATCCAATAAGAACGCAGACGCACGTGGACCCGCCCCCCTCCGCCTCTGTGAGCCCCGCCCATCCGGGTCCAGTTGCTCGCTACCGGAAACGTCAGGCCCGGCCAGAGAGGACGAGGACGAGGAGGAGTGGTCGGAGTCACTATGGCGACCGCTAGCTGCGTTAGCCTGCGGTCCGGGAGTGGCGGCGACGGCGTCTCTGCTGGAGCGAGTGGAGCGGCGCCCCCTGGCGTGCAGCTGGAGTATAGCGCCTTCGCTCAGGTCGCTGTCCGAGTCGGAGCTCCAGCCTTCGATCTCGCGGCGGACGAGCGAGTCGAAAAAGGCCATCATCCGCGGGTCCTCCTGCATGGACTGGCTGACGTAGTCGTGCGAAAGGCCGCTGCCGCTGTTTAAGACCAGGCTGATGTACTCCTCGTGTGTGTAGAGAGAACGAGATTTATCCTCAACACGACCTTCCAAATCACCAACGCTGTCCGGCTGCTGGTACGGACTCCACACCTACACAAGTATCCATAATGAGAACACACAGAGTCAGAAACCACAGAATCAGGTCTGTTAGAGATGCTGAACAACAACACAGTCTGAGCCCTGCAGTTAGCACCATGCTGCACAGTGCCTACTGGTGCGAAGCTTCTTAGCTACTTTAGCCTCTTACTGGCCATATCAGCTTCTTATTAGTCGCACACATCTCTTCTTAGCTACATTAGCTTATCGTTTGTTGCTCAAGTGTCTGGTTAGATATATTATTCCTTTGTTAGCTACATTAGTCTATTATCAGCTACACTAAACCACCGTTAGCTACATTAGCCTCCTGTTAACTACATTAGCCTCTTCTTAGCTACATTAGCCTCTTCTTAGCTACATTAGCCTCTTCTTAGCTACATTAGCCTCTTGTTAGCTACATTAGCCTCCTGCTAACTACATTAGCCTCCTGTGAACTACATTAGCCTCTTGTTAGCTACATTAGCCTCCTGTTAACTACATTAGCCTCTTGTTAGCTACATTAGCCTCCTGTTAACTACATTAGCCTCTTGTTAACTACATTAGCCTCTTGTTAGCTACATTAGCCTCCTGTTAACTACATTAGCCTCTTCTTAGCTACATTAGCTTATTGTTTGTTGCTCAAGTGTCTGGTTAGATATATTATTCCTTTATTAGCTACATTAGTCTATTATCAGCTACACTAAACCACTGTTAGCTACATCAGCCTCCTGTTAACTACATTAGCCTCCTGTTAGCTACATTAGCCTCTTGTTAGCTACATCAGCCTCCTGTTAACTACATTAGCCTCCTGTTAGCTACATTAGCCTCCTGTTAGCTACATTAGCCTCTTGTTAGCTACATTAGCCTCCTGTAAACTACATTAGCCTCTTCTTAGCTACATTAGCCTCTTCTTAGCTACATTAGCCTATCATTAGTTACATAAGTCTCCCGTTAGACACATCAGCCCTGTGTTAGCTATATTAGTCTCTTATTAGCTATCGAACGTATCGTTAGCTACCTCAAGCTCTTGTTAGCCACATTAGCACCGTAGCTTCAGTGCTAAACTAAAGAAGCAGCCTTTAGACGCTAAACACGTCCAGATTAATCAGCTACATTCGGGGTGAATGAGCAGCTCACAGAGAGAACAGGTGGAATGACTGATCAGTCATTACATGATATGACATGATGTCATTTCCCAGTTTCCACTGTAGAGCTGATACAGTAACAGTGCTGATGTGTATCAGACAGGCTGAGTGAACTGATTCAGATCTCTCAAACGTTCTCTCTGAAAGGCTCTTCCCTCAGGGCGGGGGAACAGCGGGGGGGTTAACAGCTGCAGCCAAAACCATTAAAGCACAGAATTTAACTCAAGCACAGACATGCAGGCGCAAACAGACACTCAGCAGAGACACACAGACAGACAGACAGACAGACAGACGGGGACAGATTAAAGGAAAAAACAACAAAGAGTCTCAGTGAGGAGTTCGGCCAATAGAACAGCTTCAGCACTCTCTCTCATACACTCTATAAAAAGACCCTTTAGCAGTGAAAACGGTTCTATACAGAACCATGAGCACTCAAAGAACCCTTTGTATGATTCAGTGATTCTTTGCATCGTGACATTTTTCATCGAGTTCTTCAGATTGATGGAGAATCTGCTGTACATGGTTTAGTTCTATATCCACCTCCTTCAAAAGGGGTTCCATATAGAACCAATAAGGGTTCTTCTGTTGTTATGATGTTAAGCTTGTAACAATAGAGGAACTGATTTTGGTGCTATATAGAACAAACACATTCTCCATCAATCTGAAGAACCACGTCACCATGCAAAGAACCATTTTCTTTACTAAAGAACCCTCGAGAAAACATCTTTTTAAAGCTTTGCATGCTTACACGTTCTCTAGAAGAACCTTGTCATGATGCAAAGAACAATTTAATCATGCAAAGCGTTCTTTGAGTGGTCATGTTTGGAACATTGTTCCTCCTGAAGACAGTCCCTCAGTTGGTGTTCTGTCGATGGTGGTGGAGAAAGCCGACTGACACGTCACTCAGAAATGTTTTAGATAGTTCTGGGTTGAGATCTGCGCCCAGCTGGATAAACTCCCTAAGAATGAAGCGATTCTCTCTGGATGTGATCATCTCTTCTCTAAATCCTCCTCTAAAGGCTCTTCATATATCATGATCCTCATATGTTTCATATCTAAACGCTCCGTTATCTTCATCACTACTTTCCAAAACCGCTGCAGCAGCTTCAGCAGCTGTAAACTCTCTGCACGCCGTTTCACATGAGTCTCCGATGTGGACTGAATGAAGAATGAAGGGTTTCCGGCGTGATGGTCAGTCCTTAGTGATTTCCTGAGTGTCCATCGGTCAGTTTCACACAGAATGTAGACGGACACAAGAATCCACCGGTTCCACACGGTGAGAGGCAGATGACGTGTATCTCAGCCCCTCTTCATAGGCTCATAACTCCGGATGTAAGTCTCGTATGATCTCGAGATAAGATGGAATGGAAAGGGCGACTCTACAGATTCAGGAAGTGTTTGAACTGGATTTCTGAGCTGGATCATCACAAAGGGTTAAGTATGAACACTGGGGGAGGGCTTCCTGTACTAAAGGGAATTCATTAAGGGTGCTGCCTAACGAACTGAGGGGTTCACTACACGGCTGTGTTTACAAAGATTTCCACCAATCCAACTGAGTTCATCCCAATTACAGGTTAAGACTGAGGTGTTTATCTGCTCAGTCTACTCAACAATCTGATGGAAATCTCCGTTTACATGAGCGCTACAAGTAATCCGATCCAAAATTATGCACGTGTAGAGAAGCGCTTAGTGTAGTCGTTACCATGACAGTGAGTATCACGTGAGTCCAGTCAGAGTGAGACGAGCAGCAGTGAGTTACTGAATTTCAGTGTGTGTTTAATTTGCTCTGCAGCTCATGTTGTTCTTTTAAATCCTTTAAAGTTGAACGGTATAAACTTCCACTATGACGTGACGAACATGATCAGAACGGACTTAAACTTTCAGATAGGGAATGTAATCAGATACAGGCGTTTACACGGATATTATTCTTTCTCGTTCGATCAGATGGAAACTGTATTCGGCCTCAATGACCTCAATCAGACTAGTCTGTTCAGACTGAGCTATTAGTCGGATTATTAGTCGGATTATCAGGCTGCATGTAAACGTGATTATTCATACAGAAGCTCCTCACTGAGACACTGTGTTGTGTTTTCCTGTTATTTTGTCAGGTGTGTTTAATGTGTGGTCAGGTGAGAGGCGAGAGGTGATGAGCGCTGACCTTGATGACCTTCTCGACTCCGGAGGAGCAGATCATGTAGGTGTGCGGGTTAAAGCGGACCTGGTTGACAATGGAGCGATGACCCTTCAACACCATGAAGGCCCCGTTCACCACACGACCCGGACCACCTGCAGCAAAGAGCAGAGAGAGAGAGAGAGAGAGAGAGAGAGAGAGAGAGAGAGAGAAATGCAGTATAGTTAATGAATCTGTTGAAAAAGTTCAACTGTGTGCTGAACTGTATAAAACAGGCTATATATATATATATATAATCATTTACATGTTAAATATATATAATTAAAAACAAAAAGTGGAAATAATTCAGAATAGTTAATTACATTTTGTTAAAATAATTGTTTAATTTAATTAAAATAATATTTAATTAAAATGACTAAATAATAATAACGTACCTGCTTCAGGGTCTTTGGGGATTTTCCACATGTAGAGGTTAAAATCATCTGAGCCAGACAGGATATACTGAAACACACACAGTTACTCATGATTATAAACACGTATGGTTATGAATATTATATATGGTTTGAGAACAGGTAGTTTCTGGGTAATTACTAAGTATAATATAGTAATAAATTACAGTCCTATTAATATTACTAGTATGTTAATGTACCAGTAAACATACTAATTAATAAGGAGTGAAATACTGTACTGGATAAAGGTTCTTTACTGAGTTCTCTTCTTTAGGTTCTCTACAGTGATTACACCTTTGTCATCTACTGTGCATTTACTGTAGCAGCACCACTGTTATGTAACGTCTCTGCATTCAATTCTGAAATTTTCGTGGCTCTGTACTTAGATACTGAACTTACAAATATTACTTGTCAGTGCTACATATTTATTATGAAAGTCTTAGTAATTATTCCAACATTTCAGTGGTACATATCATGTATTATGTACCAAAATCACATGTAATTAGTCCATATTCTCATATTAAATACTATACCAGAAAATAAAATGCTAACAAAGCTTTCTTTGGGGCTGAACTTGCGCTAATAATGCGATTTACTGCGATTAATAATTTTAATCTTTGCATATTTGGCACCGAATTCCAAACAGAGCACACAAATTCGCAGCTTCAGTCTGACGAGGAAATAAACCTTCAAACAGGAACACAAAGCGGCTCCAGGACACATGCAGACAGGAATCCACTGGCCTGATGTGAGTCTGATAAAACACGTCCGTACAGGCTCCTCAACATACAAGGTTCTGATGCGTATCTGAACAAGACCCTGTGGCATGTAATAAACAGGCCACTCCCGCCGGCCCATTTTAAAGCAACAGCTCAGTGAGTTTTTTTTCCAGCTTACATCAAATATTCACAGCTGGGAAAAAGAGTTCTGCACAGGCAGATTAAAGGGACCCTGACTGTTACGACATACAGGCGTCAGTATGGCGTACGTGTCCAGCATCACTCAAACACAGCATATTAACCAGGCAAAATACTTTATTTATTATTAAAAACAGACTCAGTTCCATTTTTGTTGCCCCATCTAAGGGTTTCTTTCTCTCTCGTCCACTAAATGAGGAAAAGCAAGCTGAACATCTCAATTAACTCATTCAGCCTTTCCAGCTTTAGCTAGAACGTTACATCACACAACAGAACAACTTTTTTGTCTTATGTTCCGTATGACTGAGAGAAATGACTGGAGAATTTCGCCTATTTGTCGTGTTTTTATAATAAAACATTCCCATTGGGTTTATGTGTCATATGTTAATATTACCGGATGTACTAAATGCTCACTGTTTTAAGGCGTACCAGTCATCACAGTCAGGGTTCCCTGTGTACAAACAATGTAAAGGTACAACACAACAAGGTGAATGGAAGCTAATACCCCACCAATTAGCATGGAGCTAACTGCAAGTCATCACACACACTTGCATCAAACATGTCAGTGATGCTGGGGTCCCTATTCGCCAGCTTCTTACTGGAATTTTCTGTTCCACCTTAAATGGTGCAGCAGCTACATTCCGGAGGCGCCATTTAAGGTGGAACGGAAAATTTGAATAAGAAGCTGTCGAACATGGAAGTGAGATTCACCGAAAAGTTTGAGGCGAGTGTGTGATGATTTAGATACGCAGTTAGCGCCATGCTAATTGGTGGGATGTAGACTTTCATTATGTGTTAGCTGCATTAGCCTCGTAGCTCCAGAGGTAAAACTAAAGAAGACACCAAACATGTCTTGGCTGATTGACCACATTTGGGTTAAATGAGGGGGAAAATAGGGGAATTAGATTTTCCATCAAATTATCCCTGAGAAGGTCCAGTTACACCAGCTTTCTTGCTTACAAAGCTTTGGATAAACAAATTAGCATAAATAAACAGCTTTAAATGCTTAAGGTTAGTCCAGGCATGAACTCTTTTATAATGAATGAATAAATAATCTAAAGACTGAAAGGAAAAAAAAATCCCGTCTTCTTTATATATATATGAAAAAGATATATATTTATATTTTCACCCTAAAAGCATAAAGCATCTCAAGAAATAACTGGTGCTGGGACTTCGTAGCTCCAAAAAATCGCATAGCAGTTCACTTAATGATGAAAAAATAACGACTAGGCTGGATTCTTTACGTGGCGGTAATGGGCTTCCACACTCTGCTGGGTCCGCCAGCTGACGAAGACGAGTCATAAAGCGAGTAATCAATGTCTCCTTTGAGCACAAGCAGCTCTATTTAAGGCGGCGCTGAGTTAACGCTGGCCTGGTTTCGAAGGGAAAGCGTGAAGAATGAATTCTGTAACATCTCACGAATGCAAACAAACCTCAGCAATACTAACAATGACATCACACACGGCCAGAGGTCCAAGTTTACAAGAGCACCTGAACTTCACTCAGTACGGAGCGTCTTTACAGAGAGCCTAACAGCACGCACTGCATTAGAACATCAGCAGGACAGACTGAAACACCCAGACTTACAGTGAGGGCTGGGCAATATGACGATATATATCATTATCGCGATAAATTATGTCACAACACAATACAGTCTGCTTTTCTGATCATACTGTGTCTATCGTCAGTGCTTGTAGACACTGACCAACCGCATGATTCATTATAAAGAGAGTAAAATTAGTCAGTTTAACTGGATTTAGTGACAAATACTGAATAAAAAACACTGTGTTCACAGTTTTTGATAGTATTTATGGTAAAATGTGGCACTACTGGCTCTTTTTTCTCTGATCCAGCTGATCAGATGTCCGAAAAAATAAATATTGTGACACATCATGCATCATGAAAATTTCCTGAAGTATTGCAATATTATATTTTCGTCATATCGCCCAGCCTTACTTACAGTAAACCTTCTATAACAATGAGATGATACCTGCACAACTAAATTCCTCCTCCACAGTTCCATTTATTTATGTATTCTGTATTTATCTGTCTGTTTTTGCTCCTCTTTTCTGCTTCATTTGTTATAAAACCTTAAACTTGTGCTGCATTTGAAGGTAAACTTACTTTCACTGTTATAAATATGAAAGTAACAGCCGCTCACAGTTACTGCATGATCACATGATCGCATTTGTTTTCCCACAGTTCTTAGCAGTCGTTATCCACCTGTACTGTGAAGTGCCGTCCAATCAGTTTTGCAGCTTTAGACTGAATCTGAGCGTAAAGCCATCATAATCGTGTTTACATCACGACTAACAGGCTGTAAACTGGAGGTGTTTTTATCCGTCTGACAAACACTTGTAAATGAAACAGCTGACTGCTGATAGCATAACTAGTGTTTCCTAGCCGATGGTGAATCTGCACAGCTGCCCAGATGCTGCTGCAGGTGAGCTAAACAGCAGAGTCAAAACCTCTTAAATCGTCAAGCAGCATCACAGCAGGAACAGCAGCTGGAGTCTGAGAGTCTGACAGCCAGCTGTGCCTATACGTGTGTTTTGGCTGCTCAGCAGACATTTACGTGCATTTACTGGATTTATTTTATAGAAATAATAGTAATAAATAGTGAAAAACGTAATAAAGTGCCATCTGTACATTATGACATTATGGCTGATCAATGTAATGACATATAGAAATGATGTATATATTTAATGGTTATATTTATTTAAAAACATAGAGAGTAGATACATACAAAAACCCTGTATCTCCATTTTTGTCATGTTTTACTTTTTTGCATAATTTCAAAAATCCAGTTACCCTTCTGAACTGTGTTAAAATTTCATGATGAGTGGACCAACAGAAACAGTCCAAAACTACTTAAAAAAATGCACTTTAACCACTTTAAGTTCAGAAAGTTTCTTCTGTCCCCTGTAAAGTTACCGTTTTGGAGATTTGGAGGTTTTATTCCGACAGCACAACCTCTGTCACAAGTCAGTCTGTGAAATTTCTGTCCTGCTAGATCTGCCCCAGCCGACTGTAAGTGCCATTAATAATGAAATGGAAGCGTCTAGAAACAACAGCTCAGCCACAAAATGGGAGACCACGGCCGAGCAGCTGCACACAGGCCTGAGATCACTGTGCTCAATGCCAAGCATCCAAAAAAGAGCACATACTTCACTGAATAATATTATAATCAGTTGCAATAAATAATAACATTCCAAAGTATTCATTTTTGCCTCCCTAATACATTCTAACGTTAATATGCTGATGGGGTACCTGGTCTCGGTCCCCGGCGAAGCAGCAGCTCTTCATGGTGCAGGAGTTAAAGTAGCCCTGGTTGTCGAACTGGAAGCTGGGCAGCCGAGAGTGCAGCTCGTACAGGACGGGGGGCAGACGGCGGCGCAGGGCGAGCAGCTGCGTCCCTGCACTGTTAAACCTCACACTCATCGCACTCTGCAGGGACAAACTGCCCCCGTAGCGCAACAGAGAACTGCACAGACACAGAGAGGAGGAAACAAACACAAACGGATAAATAAAACAGGATTTGTTCACATTATTAACCCCAAACTGCCGTACGAGTGAGAATATGCTGTAGATACTGTGTGGCATCACATTTATCCACAGCACTCTGCTGCCATCTAGAGGACACTGACAGAGTAACACTGTAAAAAGCTAGGTGTGCAGTGAGATCAGAGTATTTCCATTGAGAAGTGTGAAATAAAAGGGGAATTCCACTGATTTTTCACAATTTCTGCATAAATAAGTTGCTAAGATGTAACCAGAGTTGTTCAGAGTGGTTTAGTATGAATTGTTCACAGTGGTGGTGATAGGAACCAGACGTCCACCTCTAAAAGCTCCCTCACAGAAAGTGATTAACTGGTGGTTCTGGATAGTAACTAAAATATCTATATCTGTGTTGTAGTCATGGCGACACCTGGTTCCTATCACCACCACTGTAAAGACATCTGAACCATTTCACAGTTATGGGGGAATTTTGTAAAATCACTTGAATTCCCCTTTACAAGTTAATGATAAGTGTGTGAAGATCACTCACCTGCGTGGTTTTCGGATGTCCCACAGCCCGACCCCCTCTTTAGAGTTGGCGGTGGCCAGCAGGCGCGGCTCTACAGGGTTAAACATGACGCTGTGGAACGCGGACGGATAATTGGCCAGGCAGAACGGTTCTACAACACAACAACAGCACACAGTTAGAGAACAGTTAGAGAACAGAGAGACAGAAACGGTTTGAGTTCATCCTCCTGTAGCGCCCCCACAGCGTTTACACCTTAAAGACCTCCCACACTAAAACAAGTGGAGAAACTGAGTGGAAACTGTGATTCTGAACTTTCCACCCAGACCACATTAAGGTCTGTCATTAAGCGGAAGAGGAAATGTTTCATTCTGATTTGAATTTGATGAAAAGCTGTTTTGCAGAAGAAAAAATGGACTTTCTGTACAAACTGCAAGCGACAGTAAACACTTACGTTATAACGAGCCAACACTTGAACTTACGTACAACTGACCCCTGGTGTACAGTGTGTGTAAGTGGATTATAGTGTCTAATGTGCATATGCTGTGTGTAATCTGTGTATACTGTGCCTTTGGGGTGAAAACATGGTGTATGTGTGTTTATCATTTTTTAATTACATAATTTAAAAATACCAGCTGTCCTTTACAGTATATCAAAACGTCATAATGAATGGACCAATAGAAACGCTCCAAAATGACGCGGTTTGCGTGTGCAGCGTGCGTGTGCAGCGTGTGCGTGTACCTCCGTGCGGCGGCTCTCGTGTGTCCCAGATCAGAACTCTGCCGTCGTCGGAGGAGCTGGCGAACACGTTGTCGTTAACGGGGCTGACGGACAGACCATAAACAGCGTCGTCATGGAGAAACACGTTCAGCGTCTCGCCGCGTTCAACATCGTGTAGGATCACCTGCTCATCGTTACCTGCAACACAAAACACAACTCACAGATCAATCAACCAATCACAACACAGTATTCCTGCATTTGATTGTCTGAGCTCCTCTTATGACGTTTGTGTGCCTTTATGCGTTCAGAATTAAACAGGCTGCTTTTGTTACTGCACCTTTAAGACTGATGCATGGAAATGAGCTCTGTCCTGATTGGCTGTCCTGTACTGCCATTCTGCAACCTACAAACTTCATGTTTAAAATGCAAGTATGGGACAATTCAGGCATGAAGATATTTAGAGTATTTAGAGTAATTTTTATAGAATAATTGTCAATAAACAGCCATTAAATTTATAAGTAGAATGTTGTTCTTTATGTATGAATAAGTGTTCTGCACTCGGTATCGGCAAAAATTTATATCAAAGTATAATTAAGATCACTGTTCAGCTGTTCTTCTGTCTCAACTGCCGACTGAAAAGCTGCTCAGTGGTGATGACAGTTTGGGAATTTAGTGTCGTCTCATCTTCAGAGTCTGACCAAATCGGCTGTCGGTCAAATGTGATCTTAAAAGTGTCCGTTTTCTGTTTGTGGCAAAGTAAGAAGTAAAACGTTCAAATGTCTTGAGCGTCTCCTACAGCTGTCAAAGTCGTTGCTTAGCAACAGCGTCTCAGTGGAGTGATACAGTGTTTGTGAAAAACCATGTTATGGTGAAATAACAGCACAGTTAGAACGCTGCTCAACCAATCAGCTCGCGTGGCCGGAACTCACTGATGTATAATGAACCATATCACTGCTGTCGGGCAAAACCTCGGGTAACTTTACAGGACACGGAAAATGTTCTTAACTTTTAATGGAAGTAAATGGAGAAATATTTTTTTCCAAGTAATCCTGGACCTTTTCTGTTCGTCTGCTCATCATTAAATTTTGACACAACATTAATGCCAACAGCCTTTTTCAATTTAGGGCAAAAAAAATTAAAAATATTCTCCATCAATCTGAAGAACCATTTCGCAATTTAAGCATGAAATGGTTCTATACAGAACTTGTGGTGAGAGGTCAAAAGATGGTCATGCTCCTCACCTCCAGAGAAAACCCGCGTGTTTGTGCTGTCGAACGCCAGGCAGAAGATGTTGGAGAGGTGCTCCCCCTTCAGCTTGACCGGTTTGGCCCGGGAGTGGATGGCCTTCTCCATGTGCCACAGCAGCACCCGCCGGTCATCTCCACCTGAATCACAGCAGGACGGAGGAGAGAGTCAAAGACCAGCTCACATATTCATACACATCATCATATACGTTATACTAGAAGTGGCACTTTTCCTATCCAATACTGACACTAGGGCCCAGCCCCATTTCACCTCTCACCCCTACCAATCGGGGTAGCGTGTCCTGATTCTTGTTGAGATAGAGGGGTAGGGAGAAGTGTTAGGGCTAGAAAGAGAAACCAGCAGGATGGCTGAGCAAGAGACCAAAGAAACCCACAAATGTGAGAATTTTCTCAGTTAAAGAATTAAAATAATCATCGTTTCATCTTAGTTTAATGTCGTTTCAGTGTATTATGGTTCGCTAGTAAAGCTGACATCTCAGTAGCTAACTAAATTTCCCATTCCACCTTAAATGGCACCTCTGGTGTCAGAAATGCTGCACCATTTAAGGTGGAACGGGAAAATTTGAACGAGTCTGGGGCGATTGAGTGATGATTTGTGTGTGCAGTTAGCACCATGCTAGCAGTTTTGGGGTATTTCCATTAACTGTTAGCGACATTAGCCAAAGTATGTTAGCTAAAAACAATAGCAGCCGCCACTCTGAAGCTGAACTTTATCCACACATCTGTCCATTTTTATAAACAACAGCGTGTACAGTGTTAGAACTGCCACTCTGTAATGTCTTACGGGTTTCTCAAACGCTAGAGGGCGCTCCCGAGCGAGTCCAAAATGAATGGGTTGATATGGAGCATTTGAGCAAAATCATAGTTTGAAAATGCTGAAACATTTTTAATGTGGAAGAATACAGTCATTTCCTGAGCACAGAGCAGCATAAAACATTTTAACACTGCTGTTATGTTTTTAAGAGCTTTTAAACTCGAGTTATAGGAGTTTAAAACGGCGCCTCATGTACGTTCATTATGTCTGTGAGCGCCAACAGCCAATAATAAGTAATGCTAACCAATCAGCTCTCAGTAGCAGTAATGCTAACCAATCAGCTCTCAGTAGCAGTAATGCTAACCAATCAGCTCTCAGTAGCAGTAATGCTAACCAATCAGCGCTCAGTAGCAGTAATGCTAACCAGTCAGCTCTCAGTAGCAGTAATGCTAACCAATCAGCGCTCAGTAGCAGTAATGCTAACCAATCAGCTCTCAGTAGCAGTAATGCTAACCAGTCAGCTCTCAGTAACAGTAATGCTAACCAACCAGCTCTCAGTAGCAGTAATGCTAACCAATCAGCTCTCAGTAGCAGTAATGTTGGGGTCTGTTTGCTGTAGTAAAGGAAACATACAGGTGAGTTTTCTTCGCTGTTTTAGTGAAATTCGTCCTTCTACTGTCTAAATTAAAGGAAAGTTCTGGTTCAGAGATTAGAAACTATTTTAACTTTTCGCTTTTAGCCGTTGAGCTCCATTCACCCCCATTCACTGAGGACTCATGGGCGCCCCCTGCTGTTTAGCAGTCCTGCTTTTGATATAACGGGGGAAATGGAAAGTGGCCGGACTCCTCAAAACCGGCTCTGGTCAAACTGGTGTTAAAGGACTGTAATCCATTCATGCTGGTGACTCAGTGAGGTTCCGTCTATCAGACTAAATATACTCTCTACAGTAAACATCACCGATTCAGACGACCATGACTAACGTCTCACTGGATCTCTGAGTGACACCTCATACACACACACCGGACTCGTAACAGCTCCTCTAAACCATCACAGAAACAGATCCGGTTTCTCCATCTAGCACAAAGAGGAATATCTTGGCAGCCTTGTAAAGGAATAGTTTGGCCAATCGTTCAGTTCCCCCCTCATCCCGAATGCATTCAGTCAGCCAAGGCTGGTTTGGGGGCTGAAGTTTCTGTAGTTTAGCACTGGAGCTACGAGGCTAATGTAGCTAACATGGAATGTGCATGTAATGAAGCTCATACTGATTAGCATTAGCACTGATGCCTCTACAGTCACGCTCCTCAGACTGTGTGGAGCTCAGTGTCTCTCATAGACCCGATTCTGTGGGTTCTGACTCACTGTTCTCTATAAACACGGACTAAAGTACATTAGCACAGCTACACACAGCATTAGCATACAAAGCTTGAATTTTAGGCGCACTTTGCCTGCAATGTTAAAAAAGATGGTTCTTTAAAAAAGGGGGTTCTTTAGTATGGAAAAGGGTTCATTTGCACGCTTAAATGATGGCTGGATAGACAGACGGGGCAACAAAAGGCTGGTAAAGTTGTGTAAAGCTAATAAAAACACCTGGTGGTTAATTTGCAGCAGGTCAGTAACATGACTGTGTATAAAGAGCATCTCAGAGAGGCGGAGTCTCTCAGAAGTAAAGATGAGGAGGGGTTCACCACTCTGTGAAAGACTGCACCATCAAATAGAGCAACAATTCAAGAAGCACGTTTCTCAACATAAAACAGCAAAGAACTTCTGTTTTTCATCATCTACGGTACAAAATATCATTAAAGAATCTGGAGAAATCTCTGAAAGACCACTCAGCTTGTTATCAGTGCACAGTTCAAAAGCCAGTATTCATGATGGTGTAGGGGGCATTAGTGCACATGGCATGGGTGATGTGCTCATCTGTGAAGGCACCATTAATGCTGAACAATATATACATGTTTTGGGAACATATGCTGCCGTCCAGACGACGTCTTTTTCAGGGAAGGCCTTGATTATTTCAGCAAGACAAGCCAAACCACATTCTGCTTGTATTACAGCAGCGTTGCTCCATATTAAAAGAGTCCAGGTGCTAAACTGACCTAAACTGACCTGCCTGCAGTCCAGACCTGTCACCACTGATAACATTTGGCACATTATGAAATTAAAAATATGACAAATGAGCCCCTGAACTGATGAGCAGCTGAAATCCTGTATCAAACAAGAACAGAAAACATTTCACTTTCTAAACTACAGCAGCGTCTCCTCAGTTCACAAACGCTTACAGAGTGTTGTTAAAGTAGAGGTGATGAAGCACAGTGGTAAACAGGCCCCCGTCCCAACTTTATTGGAATGTGTTGCTGCCATCAAATTCAAAATGAGCACATATTTTTCAAAAAACAATAAAATTTCTCAGTCTCAGCATATCCTAAAATAAATATAAGGTTTAAATGATTTGCACATCATTGCATTTTGTTTCCATTTACATTTTGCACAGCATCCCAACTTTTTTGGAAATGGGGTTCTACATTCTATATAACATCTATTATTAGTAGTAGTAGTGGTATCATTATCATTTATGATCTCCTGTGTAAAGTTCTTTTAAGAACTTTTTTATAAATGTTTCTATAAAGCACAAAAAATGGTTCCACTACCGAACACCCCATAATGCACTGGGCTCCATTTCCTTGGAAATCTCTTTGGCCTCTGCTGTTCTGCCTGAAATAGCTTTTTCATTGCCTGCTCGCCACATGTGGAGTCAGATTTCCAACCGCTTTAGGAGTTTAGGGGAGTTTTGGTGTTCTTGCTCTTTCTGTGCCAGTGACACTACAGGCCAAAATAACGGAAACTAATACACCCCCTGGGCAAAAAACAGGCCGAACCCAAAAACCCATTAGAACAGCTGCAGCAGGTTAGTGATCTAACTTATTTAAGTGCTGTAGTTTAGTGTGTGAATGTTCAGACAGTCTTTTACAGAAAGAAGAGTCAGTATTGATCCACTCAGCACTGACGGCTTCGCACTGCTGAAAAACACCGCTGAGCTGGTTTGAGTTTAATGTGAGACCAAATAAACTCTATAGGGTTTAAATCTGGACTCTGACCAGCCAGAAACAACCATTATTATTTGGGCGTGGAACATTTTATTTGCCCAGGAGTTCAGTAGTGAGTGTTTTAGTAACAGTAGCCCTCACTTACATTATTACATTTAGACCATTAATGTTGATTTATTATATTTAGTGTTTTTCAGGGGGGATTTTTGTTAAATCTGCAGTCATTTTTGCCCTTTGACCCGGTTATTTCAGACGCTGTTTCTAACACATCTATTATATTTATTAAGCTGTACTGAAGCTCTTTAACTCAGAAAGCCTGCAACACCTTCAATCTGCAGGAATATGAACTCCTGCACAGACTAAATTTAGCCGCGAGCTGTAGATCAGAAAGGCTGCAGCTCAAATCAAAGCCTCGTCTGTTTCTGCAGCAGCTTTAACAGCAGGGTTTATCCAATAAAGCAGCGCCGAGCTGCGGTTAATCTAAACCACACGACTGCAGCCCGTCCACACGGTCAGACCTGCTACTGCAAACAGGCTGAATAAAGCTGAATAAAGCTGAATAAAACTGAATAAAAAGGAATAAAGCTGAATAAAGCTGAATAAAGCTGAATAAAACTGAATAAAACTGAATAAAAGTGGACTTAAACTCAGAAACGAGAGGATCCACTGATACAGGCTTGAAACATGGCACACAGAAACAGCACCTCTCTCTCTCTCTCACTGTAACTGTCTCTCTCTCATTCTCCTTTTCCTCTTCCTCATTCTCCCTCCGTCAATGTTCTTCTCACTCTTTCTTCTTCGTTTCTCTCTCTCCCTCTTTCTCTGTCTTTCTGGCTCTTTCTCTCTCTCTCTTCCTCCCTACTTCCCTTGTTTCTGCCACTTGTTCTCTGTCTCTCTCTCTCTCTCTCTATTTGTGTTGCTGCTTTGCATTCAAAATTGGCGATATGAGCTGCAAATGTGCAGTTTTGCTTTCAGAACTTTTTTTCTCTCTCTCCCTCTCCCCCTCTCTCCCTCTCCCCCTCTCTCCTTCTCTCTCCCTCTCCTTCTCTTTCCTTCTTTCTCCCTCTCTCTCTCTCTCTCTCTCTCTCTCCTTCTCTCTCTCGTTCTTTCCCCCTCTCTCCTTCTCTCTCCTTCTCTCTCTCTCTCCTCGCATTGCTGCTTTTCATCCAGTGATCTCCGTAGTGAGGCGCAGTGTGTAGTTGTGCTTCCACAACTTTTGTGCGGTCATTCTGAAACGACAGGTCACTGCGCTTCAGCGACCATGTAAATCTAGACGAAGCTGATCTGCAGAATGACCATAGTAAACGATACTGTGGTCCTGATTCAGTACCATGTGAGCGGTTACTGCCTCACTCTACAGCTCCTCTCTGATAATGTCCACATTTACCACATATCGTTTACATCATACTGCAAACACATTTCCAATATGAGCCAATATATGCACATATATTTTTTCCATATAAGAGTTTTATTAAACCCAGTCAATGTACACCATCGTTAGCTCACCGCTAACATAACACTGGAACTCCCATAGTGAAAATTAGCATTACCATAAATGCAAGTATCTCCATAAATACAACCCATAAAAAGATCTTCAAGGGTTCTTTAGTAAAGACAACAGTTCTATAAAGAACCATGAACACTCAAAGAACCATTAGGGTTCTTTTTTTGAAGGGTGAAATGGTTCCTCAGAGTGACGGAGAACTCAGTCATTACAACAGAACTCTTTCGGGTGCTATATAGAACAACACATTCCCGATCAATCTGGAGAACAATTTCACCACGCAGAGAACCATTTAATCATGCAAACAGTTCTTTGAGTGTTCATGGTTCTATATAGAACTCTTGTCTTTCCTAAAACCCTTTAAGAACCATCTATTATAAGAGTGATACCTTATATATGTGGCCTCACTGGTGTATCTGCTTTATAGGCAATATGGCCAAAACAACGACACGACGGCAGCAGTGACAGCAGGAGGACGGTAAACAGCCCCTCGTCCTCAATCTCTCCTTTAATTCTGGATGTTCTGCATTACGAGACTGTTAAAGAGCCGAAATGCGAATATTGCTGCACACGTTACGAGCAAGCTAGAACGCCTACACTGATACTGATCCTGCATGAAAGAGGCTCCTATTAAACTTTATAACACGGTTATACACCGATCAGGCATAACATTCTGACCACCTCCTTGTTTCTACGCTCATCGTCCATTTTATCAGCTCCACTTACTATATAGGTGCACTTTGTAGTTCTACAGTTACAGACTGTAGTCCATCTGTTTCTCTGATACTTTGTTAGCCCCCTTTTACCCTGTTCTTCAGTGGTCAGGACCCCCATGGACCCTCACAGAGCAGGTACTATTTGGGTGGTGGGTCATTCTCAGCACTGCAGTAACACTGACGTGGTGGTGGTGTGTTAGTGTGTGTTGTGCTGGTCTGAGTGGATCAGACACAGCAGTGCTGCTGGAGTTTTTAAACACTGTGTCCACTCACTGTCCACTCTATTAGACACTCCTACCTTGTCAGTCCACCTTGTAGGTGTAAAGTCAGAGACGACAGCTCATCTGCTGCTGCACAGTTTGTGTTGGTCATCCTCTAGTCCTTCATCAGTGGCCACAGGACGCTGCCCACAGGACGCTGCCCACAGGACGCTGCCCACAGGACGCTGCTGGCTGGATATTTTTGGTTGGTGGACTATTCTCAGTCCAGCAGCGACACTGAGGTGTGTAAAAACTCCAGCAGCACTGCTGTGTCTGATCCACTCAGACCAGCACAACACACACTAACACACCACCACCACGTCAGTGTTACTGCAGTGCTGAGAATGACCCACCACCCAAATAGTACCTGCTCTGTGAGGGTCCATGGGGGTCCTGACCACTGAAGAACAGGGTAACAGAGTATGCAGAGAAACAGATGGACTACAGTCTGTAAGTGTAGAACTACAGAGTGAAACTGTACGGTCAGTGGAGCTGATAGAGTGGACAGTGAGTGTAGAAGGTGTTTTTAGTGTTCTGGTGTTTTGTACTAGCTAACAGGCATAACTGTAGATATTACACCCCTTACCGGACACCAGCCACTGTCCACCGTTGTTGGAGAACTCA